TATATCCAACTATTGCAATGTTTGCTATTGCAGTTACAGCAGATTTCACTTTTATTCTCAATAAAAAAAATCCTAGCATTTGGTATAATGCTGTAACATGTTATCAAAACATTTCTGTACTACACAGGATTTTCTGTAAAGGGTTGCAACAGTGTATTTGTGGACAAATGCGACAGCCAATTTGACACATCAATGTTCCACAAACAGCTATGAAGTTAATGACCAATTGTATCTGGAAATTGTTGGCCAGGACACCGAGAAAAACTATTCTCTTTCGAACTATTGCCATGGGAAGTTTAGCGTCCATTTGAATAGGCAGTTAGCATAGATGACTCTAAGTGAATCCGCACACCCCAGGGGAATGGGTATGTGGCCATTCTAATAGGGCTGACTTGAAGCCTTATGTAGGCTATCCCCAGTGCTTTGATATGTAGCATTGCTTATCATGATGAAATACTTCTTTTCCCAGCTTCATAACATCTGAAACCACAAGTTGTTTCAGATCAGTATTTTTAAACTTTGAATATACAGTAGGAATTAAATTACTTGCATAAATTCTAAGTTTTTTAATGATACAGTACAGAAGACCAATTACAGGGTAATCAAACATGCCCAAGAACATGCTCTTACTTCAATTAAATAACTACATTAGCATTTAGGTTAAGTCCTATACTGAGATTCTACCTTCAGCGCTTTTTTGTACGGTCAGGCATTTTGCAATCAGGTTGCATAAACTAATGAATGCTCATGTACTTTGGTAAACAGGTTGGGGTAGGGTAAAGTGGGGTTAATAACCAAATTTACATACAACAACAAGATTCCATTTATAGAGCGCCTTTCACGTCGGGAGGACGTCCCAAGGCGCTGTACAGTTGGGTCAGGACCCGAGCAAGAGGGAAATGGTCAGGATGAGGGGAGGGAAGAGAGAGAGCGAGGAGGGGGTAGAGAGTCGAGAGGGGAGCTGAAGGCACGGTCAAAGAGAAAGGTCTTGAGACCGGCCTTGAAGGAGGAAAGGGAGGAGGCGGTGAAGGCACTGGGGGATAGAGTTCCAGAGCCTCGGGGCTGAGAGGCTGAAGGCCCGGCCACCAATGGCAGGGCGGTTGGGGCGGGGGATGTGGAGCAGATCGGAGCCAGAGGAACGGAGGGTACGGGCAGGTAGGTAGGGGGATAGTAGGTCAGAGAGGTAGGAGGGAGCAAGGTCGTGAATGGCCTTGTAGGTGAAAATGAGGATCTTGAATTCGATCCTCTGGGGGATGGGGAGCCAGTGGAGGCGAGCGAGGGTGGGAGTGATGTGGTCCCGAAGCCTGGTGCGGGACAGTACACGAGCTGCAGAGTTCTGAATGACCTGCAGCTTGTGGAGGGAGGGCCGGGAAGGCCGGCGAGGAGAGAGTTCCCATAGTCCAGCCTTGAGGTGATAAAGGCGTGGACCAGAGTTTCAGCAGCGTGAGGGGTGAGGTAGTGCCGTAGTCTGGCGATATTCCGGAGGTGATGGAAGGCGGTGCCAGTTGTCGCGCGGATATGAGGGAGAAAGGACAGCTCAGGGTCGAACAGAACACCGAGGTTCCTGATGGCTTTGAGAGGTGGAGAGTGCGGCCTTGGATGCTGATGCTGTCAGCGCCTGAGGTGCGGAGGCGCTGACGTGAGCCAATCAGGAGGGCCTCAGTTTTACGCACGTTGAGCTGAAGAAAGTTGTCTCTCGTCCAGGACTCGATGTCGGACAGACAGCTGTCAGGACATCGGTGGTCGTGGAGTTGAGGGTAGAGGAGGAAAGGTAGAGTTGGGTGTCATCCGCATACATGTGGAAGTGAACCCCATGTCTGCGGATGATGTCACCACAGGGGGAGCATACAGAGGGTGAAGAGGAGGGGACCGAGGACAGAGCCCTGAGGGACATAACCAGCAATGGACAGATTATATCAATCACATTCCAAACAAGAACAAACTGGAAAAACCTGAGACGATACCAGGTGTGAATAGATATGCAAGCCTCCGATCTTTTCTTATCACAAAAGTCTGACAAAAACAAATGCTTCAAATCAGATTTTGCTGGTTGTTTATGGCTCTCACTGTATCACTGCACCTCCCCCTCATCAGGAACATTAGCTCACATTACAATCCACTCCTCCAAACCTCACCCAGCACCACATTCTCACATTGCCAATGCTAATTTAAAAGAAGAATTGTTTTCATATATCCATCGACCATAAACACTTGTACAAATCATTTATGTTTTCTACTTTTGGTCTTTTTTTACACTAGCCATGCATTGGGATTCATTAATGCAATGGGATTAATTGGGGAAAAGGGGTGGAAGAGGCAGAGAAGAATTTAATCTGAAGTATATTACAACCCAGTTTATTGTCTAATAACCAAGATTATAACTCCACCTTAATATATTATATCATACTTCATTCAGAACAAGATAACTTATATGGAATAGTTTTGTAGACAGACAAAACTAAGCACAATATGTTATACTTTTTTCTAAATATAAAAGCTGATATATTTTGAGTTTGTCTCTCTTGGACACTATTTATCTTACCTTTGCTTAAACTGCTCTGCGTCATTCGTACTGCTGGTGCTCATTCTCTTTCGCAATAGTGATTGATTTTTTCTGTCTCTCCACAGTGGGTGGTGGGTAGAGCAGTAAGCAGGATCTCTTTGGGGTCCAAGCGGACTTGCTTGGCAAGGGAATGTTGGAGTTAAGTCATCCCTCTGTGGCGACTTGATAGTCTGGTTCCTGAGCCAAGTGCATCTGCAGTACTCCAAGGCACTGGTGATGCACATTCCAAACTTCCGCCCCTTCGACATTACTTCCAGACTTCTGGAGGACGTTTGCATGCACAAAAGCACCATGAAATAATTATTCGGAGAACTCTGATATTTAAATAAGGGTAGCATTATGGTGGGAAATTGCACCCAAATATTATACGACTTTGCTTCTGGTATTTTTCATTATATATTTAATATATATTTATACATACTCGTAAAATGGGATACAAGAGAAAATCTTTTCTCTTTGAATAATGTTATTGGATCTTTAATGTCTACCTGAACAAACAGATAGAACTTTAGTTTTTACATCTCATCTGAATACAGCACCTTCAACAATGTGACACTCCTCCAATACTGTAATGGAATGTCAGCCTCGCCTATGAACTCAATTTAGGACTTGACTGAACAAAAATTACAACCTTGAGACAAGAGCACTACCTGAGAAGGGTGGAAGGAATATTTGGAAAACTTTACATAAATCATAATCCTGTTTACTACAACAATTTGCCTTTTTATCATGAACTGTTAGTGACTCATTTTTATTTGTACCAAATAGGAAATCCAAGATCTGATGATGCCACATGTCCCAAATATCAGAAAAGTTTTCAAACAAGGACATTTAATTGGTATGTTCTTTGACCTACACAACAGCTCCAAAGAGACAGTTTCAATGGTTGTTTCGCATAATGTAGTCAAACATTCTATTACATATATACACATATAGATTATTTAACTGTTTGCCTAAAAATTGTTTTCAACAATCAATGAACTCATAAAACTGCCAGGAACCTTAATCCAAATATGCAGGTAAGATAATGCTTATTGAAGACATATTTACAAATAAAAAGCACTAATTGTGAAGACTGGTGATTCTTTTATGACACATGGTGATGGTGTGTTGTGAGGGGGGGGGGGGGTGTGCGCTGGTTGACGCTCACTGCCTCCCCCCAATGTGACAAATAGGTTGGGAAAGTGTGGCAAATCCCACATTTTCAAAAGTTGATGCCACACCAAAAGACACAGTCTGATGGAGGAAGAATGCTGACAGCACAAGTCTTGCCCACCTCCATATCTTGCATTTTTTTCCATTTGACATTATCACACTGTCAAGATATCTCAAAGCGCTTCACAAGATAATAATCCTTGCATTTGATACAGCACCTCATCACATCTTCGAGATGTCTCAAAGCACTACACGGAATATACTGTAAAGTGAATATACTGTAAACCGTAAAATATTTTTGTGGGCGAAAGATATATTGTGAAGTGGACTGTGTGTGTATCTTGTGGGTGAAACACAGCAGCTAATTTGGGGACAGCAATGTCCCACAAACCGCCATGGGGTGGGTGAGTGACCAATTTTATTTGGGAGGGGGGGGTGGGGAAGGGGGATTGTTGGCCAGGACACTCAGAGAGAGAGAGAGAAAAAGAAACTCCCTTCTCTTTTTGAGTGCAACGGGGGATCTCTATGTCGTCTACGGTCGGGACGTCGGCTTGACATCCCGAAAATGAAACACCTCCTTCCCCCCCCACCCCCCCCACCCCCACCACCACCACCCCCTCAGCAGCGCTGCATTGCAGTGACATCTTAAGGCAATGTGATTCCCGGTCACGACTCGGGGAGATTGAACCCATCACCTTCTGACTCAGAGGCTCGAGAGAGAGAGAGAGAGAGAGGAGAGAGAGGGACAGTGCTACCAACTGAGCCGAGCTCCCGGAAATCATCCCATTCCCCCCCCCCCCCCCCACCTCCTTCCCTCCCCACCCCGACCCCCTTTAAACCCTGCCATGTATTTCTCTGCCCCCCCCCCAGCCCACTGCCGTGACGACGCAGAATCCGGACAGAAGGAGCCTGAGCCCAGGATCGGAAATAACGCGCTGTAGCGAACGCCCCGCCTGGGAGCGGGGGGGGGGGGGGTGTGGGGGCGGAGGCGGCAACAACAACAACAACACCCCCCCCGCTGACAGCCGCCATCGGGGCTGACGTAACGAAGGGGAATTAAAACCGCCATTTCACGGTGCGAGAAAATAACCGCCCGCAGCCCAACCAACCGCAGCGGCGCTTCGAACTCCTCTTACTTCCGCCGGCACAGGGAGAGGCGGCCCGGGAAGGGACTCCGCCCGCCCCCCGCCCCCCCCGCCCGCCCGCCCAGCAGCCAGAAACTTCTAGAACCTCTCCATCCCGGCGCGACCGACCGACCCAACAACTACGGTCGTCGTCGTACCTGCTGACTCTGCTGCTGTATCGGGAGCCGCTGGATGTCAGTCATGTTGTTCCCGGTTGCTGTCTGACTGACACGACTGACGACCGACTGCTGACTTTCAGCGTAAAACACACCCGGCGCCGCCCTCCCCGTTCCTCTCAGCGGCTCGGATCGCGGTCTGTGCCGGACGCCCCCTGCGCGCATGCTCCTTCCACGCGCCGTCCTGCTCCGCTACGCCACTCGCCCGCAGCCCCGCCCACTCGCTCACGTCCCACACGCCACTCATTCCTCCCCGCCCCGCCCCGATCCGCGTCACCAGCCCTTCGAGCTCGCGTCGGGATGGATAAACCCGCCCATTCCCTCACGTCAATCATTTCCACAGACACACCCCCTCCCACCACCACCACTACCTCCTCTCTCCCTCCCTCCCCCACACCACCCCTCTCCCTGGGCAGGAGCTGTCAATCACCCTCTGACAGTCCCCACCAGCACCTCCAACCTGTGCATCGTTGCTTACCATTTTTATCACTCATCACACACCCCTATAATAATCCTTGCACTTGATACGGCGCTTTTCACGTGGGGAGGACGTCCCAACGCGCTTCACAGAACACACTGTAAAGCGAACTGACTGTATATTTGTGGGCGAACGCGGCAGCCAATTGCGCACAGCAATGCCCCACAAACAGTCGTGGATTGAAAATGACCAATTTATTATTGTGCTGCAGTGCTGGCAAAAACCTTGCAACCGCCCACACGGGATCTTGATGGACAGAGATAATAAGAGAGTGTTTTGAACTACTTGATCCTTCCATCTCTAATCGTAATAATAAAGAGAGGGCCGCAGCTGAATAGGTAATGCACTGCACAGGGTTGTGCTGCTTCAATGTGAAGTATCTCCTCCCCTTCCGCCGTCACTTAAATTCTGATGCAACTCCTTTTGTAACGTGTACAGGGTCAAAGCAAGTTTAGAAGTTAAATCCAGTTAAATGTGATTCTTGTTATACAATGCAGGATTCTGATACACTTTCAAACAAAATCTGAGACACTTTCAAACTGCTTTCATCAATGTTTTTGCCAGTCGTGTTTCACATTACATTTGGGTTTAATAACATCATGTCTTGTTGCATATATATTAAAATTTCATAAGATACTATCAAAACAAAGTTTGGTCTAGTTCAAAAATAATTCAAAATAACTGTTTTAAATCCACGATGATAAAGGGTTCAAAGCGAAACTACTTAATCCAACTTTTTTTTCACATCACATGGTTCTAGCTCACCCAGACAGAAGGACAGTCTTGCATCCTTCTGCAAAAATTATATTTGAGCAAAAAGTGCTTCTCTATTAGAGCACACGAATTAAGCAATGCGGGTGTTTCCACAAATTTAAAGTATTCTTTCAATTCAGCTTGGATAATATTGATTTTAAATCTCAGTACATACCTGTTTTTACTTCATTATCCCCATACCCTTTATCTAAAACTCACAAGTTACAATTACTTAGGACTTGATTTGTGCTTCTTCTTGGACATTCATTTTTTTATTCCATCCACAGTATCAAGAACAAAGCCTTAATTATTTTGCTTTGTCTTTACTTTTTAATACCCCTTGTAACTAAGAAAGAACCAGGACAGGCAAAGATTCACAAAGATTTTAAAAACGGTATATTGAAATGCTTGTGCCCAACTACTTCCAAAGCTCATTATTCCTGTACTTATTATTGGATTGCCCAAACTCTGTCTCTCACTCAGGACAGTGACTACTCAATGTTGGCATCAATGTACAATGGTTAAACCCTTTATTTTGATGTGCTTAACTGGTTAAACAGGAATATGCTACCAATTGTGAGCTGCAGCTCTACAGTGTTGTGCACTTTTTAAAAAAATATTATTGAGTGGGATTTCCCTCTGCCCATCTGCTTTCGTGCAAAAACTTTAATCAAAAAGTGCAAGTGCCTTGACCTTGTCCACGGTGTCAAGACCACTCACATAACCTCATTCCTCAAATCACCAAATGGAAGTGCAGGCCATTTCTTCACAATCTCGTGATCAAAGGTCAATCCACTAAATTAACTTCATAACCAAATCTACACTCGATTCAAATGTCCACGTGATTTTAGCCCAAAGGCTGAACGTGTGTACTACTGTAGTATGACAGAAAATACTGAATCCTGTGCTACTGTACACCCCCTGCTGGTACAAGGCTACTTTTACTAAACTACTTCAGAATCACTGTAACCCAGCAGTGAGCACAGTACTTGCATTTTTAATTACGTCTTCACATTCCACTATTTTGTGCAATTTGATGCGAACAAATAACTGGAGCTCAGAACATGTGAATGTCACTGAACTACTGAACACAGAAACTGGGAATATCATAGGTTGTGGTGCAAATGCTTTGCATACAGTGTATGCTGAGTTGCATGTGTTCTGAGCAGAGCAGGCAAGAGAGAATTGGATACACATTTAAAGAGGAAGAATATATAATGACACGGGGAAAAGAAAATGGAATTGGGGATGAGCGTTGTTAGGCCAGTTGTAGTAGCTAGCACTACTTTAGGCTCAATGGACCTCTTCCTTTGCTATTTTATATTATTCTTCTCATAAAAGGCAAAACAATCTTCCTTTTCCAAGATCCAATCTTCAAGATTAATTCTAGAATTTACTTGTTACTCACAGGAACTTGCTGAATGTGGCTCAGCTCTGGTTTTCTGATAAATCTCAGAATAATTCATCAACGAGTTAAACTTAAACTAGAAATTACCCGTAACATTTGGCGACAACCTGATTAATACATTACACATGTTTTGGACAATACTAGACAGACAGAAATCATGCATATAAGTATCAGAAATTATAGCACAGAAGTTGGTCGTCTGGCAATTCAAGCCTCTGCCGTGTTCACAACAACAAAAAAAGACAACAGAGATTTACCCAGGGCCTCATACTTGCAAAGAATGCACATCTGAACTATATCTGCCCGCCACGGAGGTGTTAATAAGTATGCATGGGCAGCAGGTGGCTGAGGTCAGAGTGGGCTCAGCCCACCCCCACCGCCAAATCAGCCTGACTCACTTGCAGGACTTGGAAGGGCAGACCAGTCACTGGAGGCAGGGACTCGTCCCACTCACATTCCGTTAACCCTGTAAAGCCGAAGCTCTCGCGGGTAGGGGGTCTCAGCTGGACAGCAGTAGGAAAGCTTACCAGACAGTGATCATTTATGGCAGTTTTGCTCAAGGTGTACACGCAGTGTTTATGGCAGTTTTGCTCAAGGTGTACACGCAGTGTTTATGGCAGTTTTGCTCAAGGTGTACACGCAGTGTTTATGGCAGTTTTGCTCAAGGTGTACACGCAGTGTTTATGGCATGTTAAATGGTTTGTGAGTGGGATCACTGAAATCCACATTCTATGTTGGATCCTTTGGTTGCAAGCGTCGCTGCAATGGGTACAGCTAATATAGAATAAGACAAGACACCATCACCAATAGATATTCTGCCAGTGATGCTAAACAAATCAGTTGCAAATCAACCCGGTTGCTATCTGACAGTGTAAAGAGCGTTGCTATCTGACAGGGTTCTCTACCAAATCCATTATGCGCCTAATTCAATGGGCTTTGGGGATAATATTTTGCAAGTCAATTATTCCGTGGATATTATTTTCAATAATCTCATTATATTTGCCATGAGTGGAAACAATAAAATGGAAATAGTAAGCAAACACATGGCAGCTCGGACTTGCACCTCATCCAGTATCACCGTTCTTAAAGTGGTTTTACTGACCGCAAAAACAATCATTTTTCATTGATCTCACAATATCCAGGAAAACGAGTGTGACTTTTTTTTTAAAAAAAAACACACGCTCTTTACAAGTCGAATTGCTGCAACCGCCTACGGTGAGCAGTTGGGGGGGTACAGGACAGAGATCTGCTTTGGGTTCAGAGTTTGAGGAGTAGCACTGTCGATTGCAAAGCACTCGTGTAATATTCGATTAACTGTGACGATGCGGATATGTTTTGTGGTTAATGCACAAAGCACATTTCTGACTTTTGAGCAAAACCTGTGGAGATGCCGGGGATTGAACCCGGGGCCTCATACATGCGAAGCATGCGCTCTACCACTGAGCTACATCCCCACTCGCTTGCATTCGCTCACCAAACACTCCCTTTGATCTCACCATTTGCTGCCTTTCCTTTTTTTTTCTCCCTCTCTTTCTCTCTCTCTCTCTCTCTCCTGCACTGCAGACTGAGAGACGTTGAAACGAGGGCACACGGTGGGCAACGTTGCCATATTATTATTATTATTATTATTAGAATAAGACACAGTGGCTGCACGTAACGTACTGCATTTGCTGCCGATGCAATCCCTCAGCACCATCTGTAGGCAAAAAAAAAAAACCCTCTTCTCTGGGAATCGGGGGGTTGGTCGCACGTACCAAAGAGATATGTATCTGTACCCTCAGCGGATGTTTGCAGCGTAAACATAATGTGGAGATGCCGGGGATTGAACCCGGGGCCTCATACATGCAAAGCATGCGCTCTACCACTGAGCTACATCCCCTCACTGGAGCAGTCACACACACACACACACACCCACCCACCCACCCCGGCAGCTGGTCACTGCCTTTCCTTCCTGTCAGGCGGGGGGTTTGCAACAGGCGGTGCTGGTGCTGGTGCTGCTGGTGCTGGTGCTGGTGCTGCTGGTGGTGGTGGTGCTGGTGCTGCTGGTGGTGGTGGTCTGTCTGCGCAGTCCCCCCCGCGCACGGAGCTGAATGGGAAGGTGTTTGGGAGCCCCTCAGGAACCGGGAGAGGAACCACCGGGAGATCCCGAGGCCGAGACTTTGTTGCCGAACCGCTGCTTTAGTTGCAATTTCCCGGAGACACGTCAGTGATCACAACTAATACAGACAGACACACACAGACAGACACACACACACACACAGATAGACACACACAGACAGACACACACACAGACACACACACACACACAGATAGACACACACACACACACAGACAGACACACACACACACACACACACAGACAGACACACACACACAGACAGACACACACAGACAGACACACACAAACAGACAGACAGACACACACACAGACAGACACACACACACACACACACAGACAGACACACACACACAGACAGACACACAGACAGACAGACACACAGACAGACACACACACACACACAGACAGACAGACAGACACACACACACACACACACACACAGACAGACACAGACACACACACACACAGAGACAGACAGACACACACACACAGACAGACACACACAGACAGACACACAGACAGACACACACAGACAGACACACAGACAGACACACACACACAGGCAGACACACACACACACACACAGACACACACACAGACAGACACACACAGACAGACACACACAGACAGACACACACACAGACAGACACACACAGATACACAGACACACACACACAGAGAGTAACAGTACCGAAATGTGCGGTGCAGTTGCCACCACTTTCTGTCCACTTCTCGGTTGGAAGACGAGGAGCCGAACCTGTGGGGCTCTCTCCTGGTGATGGTGATGGTGATGCGCTGTTGCAATAATAAGAGCGTTGCAAAAATAATAATAATAATAATAATATATATATATATATATAAATGCGGAGCCATTTATTTATTTTCATTTCTTGAGCAAATTCACTCATTCCCTCTCTCCCCCCCCACCCCCCCCCCCCCTCCCCTGCTGCCGTCTGCGCTTGTGCGCCTGCTCAGCCCTCTCTCCCCCCCTCTCTCCCCCCCTTCTGACACGTCTCTCGCAGCTCCACGTCGACACAAAGCTGCAGGTGAAGGGGAGAGAGAGAGAGAGAGAGAGACACACACTGAGCAAACAGGTGAGAGAGAGGAGAGAGAGAGACACACACACACACACCGAGCAAACAGGTGAGAGAGAGGAGAGAGAGAGAGAGAGAGAGGGCGAACCTTCCCCTCGAGACTGACTGCAAGTTACTGACCTCTTCTCCTCTTCCCCAAAGGTAGGTCTCAAACTGCAGATGCAAAGTAAGTTAAGTCATCGCAATTGCATGTGTGTAAAAATCAGTCCTTTTCATTTTATTTCACACCCCCCACCTCACCCCCCCCCCCCAACCCTTATCAAATCAGTTTCTTAGCCCCCACATAAGTTCTTCACTAGTCTTGTGGTTCTCTGCTGTGCTGTGTGTTGAAATGTTTCTGAGCTGCATATAGTTCTGATCATTCTATCTCTGCTCTGTTAAGTTAATAGTTTGGCCACTTCATGTGGAAACTAGTTATTGGGTTTTGTTTTGCAGAAGCAATGGGTTTTAATTGGGAGGGGGTGGGGGGGGGGAAGGAAGACTTTTTTGCAAACACATTTTTCTTTGCTCACTGTCTTATTTTGTAAACCATGTGATAAGAAGGATATAGTATATTGGTGAGTGGTGTAAGATGTGTAGTTAGAAGCATTCCTGAATCATGCCCCACCCAATAAATATAGCCCAGATCCTTGCAATAATGTGTGTTTGGTAAAATCAGAGTACAGATTTTGAGAGTTACTTCACTAGTTGGTCTATAATCACTGGCACCGCAAAGACTTAACAATGATTTCCTTGCAATCCGATGTAATTTACTGCAGAAGATTATACAGGTAAACATTTAATCTACCTGGTATAATTGGAATGCTGTACTTTCTTGGCTCCTTTTGCCAATTATTTTTAAAACAGGATGGCTTGGCTGTAATAATAATAATCCTTGCATAAGGCCTTATCACGTCTTCGAGATGTCTCAAAGCGCTTCACAGAATATACTGTAAAGTGAATATTTTGTGGGCGAAGGTGGCCAACTGCACACAGCAGTAATACTCCACATCAAAGAGCCACCAAGCACACACTGTCCAGGCTATATGAATTGAAATTTGGGTGAGGTACTGAGAGTCTCACATATAGTATTTGGGACAACAGTATATTCCAGTATCAGTCTTTAAGAGAGCAAGGAATAGTTATATAATCATAATAATCCTTGCATTTTATATAGCGCCTTATCACGCCTTGAAAAGAAGCAAATTCAAAAAGAGCACTTGTGGATGCAGATGTAACATATGTTACTGTTAGACTCCTGTCCAAGAATAGGATTGCCTGTTATTACTATTATTCAGTAAGTGATATTCAAAAATCTTGCAGAAATTAACAGCAACATTAATTTAAAAGCCCTCTTGTAGGTTGTAATTTAGTAAATGAGATGTAAAAATTATCCTTGGGCTATTTCATCTGCTCTGTGGACTAGCAGGAATGAAGATGGAGCAGGTGGGGACTGAGTAAGGCACAAATCTGATATTTTGGATAGAAATTTCAGTAGGGCACTTAATTAGTACTGCAACATTGCCAAGTTCAAAATAAGCACACTTAGTCCACCTTCAGCAAGATCCAAATCAGATGAGTGATCTAAGGCTGATATGCCAGCTCCAGGAGAATAGCTGCAGCTGGCACAATACTTCTAAAATGATGTACACTAGTACTCAAAATAAATCTAAAAATTCACTGGCACTTACCTATGGCGAGTGGACTCATGCCAATCCGCAGATTTAACATGGGCTTCACACACGGTAAGCCTGGCTTCATCCGAAACTCAAGAGTGCTATTGCAGATGCCGTTTGAAGCTGTGATGGGAAGGTGTTAAGGTGGGTATTCAACAAGGATGAAATCAAATGGGCTGAAGGATCTTCTTCATTGAAACTGATCTTGTGAGAAGCATGCATGCCTATTGGTATTTGCACATGTGTTACAGCACACTTGAGTTTGGGAGGAAATTAATATTCTTGGAAGGATTACTACCCATGGAAGGAGCACAACCGTTCTTGCATTGTTAGATGCCATTTTCCATATGCTGATTTCTTAGTTTAACAAAAGTATAAGATGAACTTGATGAGAAATCGTCTCACTACAACAACTTGCACTTATATAGCACCCTTCACGCAGGGCAGTGTCTCAGAGTGCTAAACAGTGGCAGAGCCTGATTCCAAGCCGGGGGGAGGTGGCCGTAAGCACAGTCAAACAGGAAAGTTTTTAGGTGTTTGTGGGACATTGCTGTGCGCAATTGGCTGCCGTGTTCGCCCACAAAACGTCAATTCACTTTACAGTGTGTTCTGTGAAGCGCTTTGGGATGTCCTCCCGACGTGAAAAGCGCTATATCAAATGCAAGGATTATTATTATTATAGGTGGAACTTGAATGAGGGAAGGGGGCAAGATGAAGGGATTGAGGGAGAGTGTACCAGAGTTTTGGGGCATAGTGGCTGAAAGCACGACCTCCAGTGGTGGGGCGGAGGGTGTGAGGGACAAGCAGGAGACCGGTGCCAGTTGAGCGGAGGCGCCGGGTGGTGGAAACAGGTAGTGAGGAGGTCAGAGAGGTAGGGAGGTGCCAAGGAGTAAATGGATTTGAACACGAGAGTGAGGATACAATAGTTTGTAATAAGCAAGTTTGACTTTATATTTGACCATGCTATTAACTGTATTTTTCTATTAATACTGTGGCGTTCTGGTTGTTCATTAAAGAAAACTTTCCGTCGCTCTCCATTCTCTATCTTCAAAAGGTGCGTTCATTTTCTTTTGTTCTGAATACAAAAAAAAATCTTTGCATGTCATTTGTTGCATGAAACACACATAATTTTGGACTAAGTTTTATTTTTTAAAAATCTTGTGGTTGATTACAAAGATATTGTATATTGTGACACAGTTAACCATCTTTGAGACTTCCTTTTTTTATTTGAAATCTTTAGTTTAAAAACCCAAATTCTAAAGATGTGAAGACACCATTGCAGGTGAAGTTAGCGCAATTGACATTGGCAACCAAATTAATTACTGCTGAATTTTTTTGTGTGATGGTGGTCAAGGCAATTAAACTTCAACTTCTGTAATCAATTATGCTATAAGCAGTGACATTTATATGAAAGTTGTTTAACTGCAGTTCATATTCTAGCAGTTCCCTTTTTGGACAGATATGTTCAGCACATTCTGCTCTGGAAGCGAAAGAATCTCCGTTTTATTATGCTAATCCTCATCTTCAAGAATCCAAGAAAATTGGCGGATGTAGGAACTTAGTAGTGAAAGAATGTTCTACTTAAAGTGTAATAATACTGTGTAAATTTAATCTGTGGAATTATTTTTATTTCTGGTGATTGGGTCACTGTACTTCACAAATTCTTTGAAAGAAGTTGCAGAAATATAAAATGATGGTTCAAAATATTCTTTGTATTCTTACTGTAAAATGTACCACAGAATTTATCTACATCTATACTGGATTAACAATATTAATATTTTCACATTTGTATATAAACTTAAATTGTATTTTAACGCGAAATTAAAACACACAATCTATTGGGAGATAACATCGAGCCTATATTAACCATAATAGTAAAGATGACTTCTTGTTCTCGTAATCAAGCATGTGATGTCTTTTTTATTAATTGAATTTTACAGAAGAATGTTACACTGTTTACATTATAAAATCAAGTGTGATTTGGAAAGAATAATTTGGCTTTTTATAAGGGCACACTCTTGCACTACTATTAATCCTGCTATTACAACTGTTGTAATATTACAGTGAAATCCTGTGGCCTACAATAGATATTAACTTATTTATTCCCAATTTTATTTCTCTCAATGAATCAATAAAAGGATACAGCAGTAACATTGCTGCTGTGTCAAACCATCCACTTCTTCCTTTGGTTTCACCAATCTGGATTGCATCACTTCCAATCGTCCCACTAAACTATCATACATATCACATCTTACTTTTATATTACATGGTACATTTTTTGATTGAATAGTTGTGGAAATAGCAGCCATCAGTTAAAAACTTATTTATGTTTCAAGATCACCAAGCATCCAAGCCTGAAGATTTGGAAGATATTAAAAGTAAGGAAAGACTTTCAAAGGAAAGTTCTCTGATACACTTGGACTTTCTATTTATTACAGTCAGTGCATCACAGAACTTTGTTTTGGGAGTTTCTACTCGTGTTCTGAGCAAGTGAGCAATCGTACACTGCCATTGGCACTATGGTTGATATAATGATTAAGATGGAAATTGTACCATTTTACTTTGTATGTATTCAGCCAAGGTCTGTTTAAAAAATATTTTGTGTTTTAGGAGTTTTTGTTATAAGACCCATGCAGCTTGTTTCTGCAGAAAAGGCTGATTTGGTTTTGTTGTTGGCCAATGATACTTGTTGGCCAAGGATTTTAATTGTAATGTATTTCTTAACAATCAGAATTGTCAATATGAAGACATTTGCAACATCCTTTCCAATTTATATTATGCTAATTATAATATCACTTTCAGCTACGGTAGTTGATAGTTTGGTTACTACACCATAAAGCAGAGTTTCATCCCAAATCAATCCTCTTACCTAGGTGATAAGGTGATAAGCTATGTGACTTAATCATCACTGTTTTATTTTGAAATTTCTGACTTCTTTCTTTTACAAAGCACAGGAACAGATGGAATCCATTCAGTCTGTCAAGCCTATTCTGCCATTAAGCCTATTATGCCATTTTATAAGATCACTGCAATTCTTTAATCCAATTTCCTTGCCTTTCTCGAATACTTTTACATCTCAAGTATCCATCTATTTAACCTTTTAAACAACTCAATTGTTTGTGTCTCTTTGGCCTTCGGGGGTAGTTCATATAATGGACATCAAGCTCTCTGGCTGAACTGATTCGAATTATGGTAGCAGTGTCGATGTAAACCATGGCATAAATTTGACCTGCACTGATTTTGAAGAGTCAAGATCAAAAGTGTGAAGAATGGAAATATTACATTGCTGTGCACTTTTCAGATTATAAAAAGGGGTACATATCGGTTCAGTGAATTGTTTTATTAATGCACTATGTCACAGAGTAGCAGGACATGAGCGTCATGTCATTATTCATCATGAGCTTCACCTTGATTGCTCATGAAGATTTGACAGTCTGGGTATTAATGGGAGATGCTTCCTGACAAGCAGAGAGAAATAATTGGAGGTTGAGTCAATATATGCTTTGTTGTGTGTGTATATATACACCATGTAGCTGCCGATTCAAGTTCCTTGACTGAAGGTGTAAGGGCAGATTTTCTGCCTACTCACAGCTGGGAAATGATGCATGGCATGAAGATGATGAAATTACTCTTTTACAAAACCAATGACAGCACCTGAAAGATCTAAGAGAAGCCTTCTTTCTCTCAATTCTCCATAGAAGGGTATGCCTAATGTGAAATGTTTCTTACATTTTAGATCAAAGTAATTTACTGCACTCATTATGTCCTGAAGTGTGTAATTAATTGTTCTGTGTTATAATTGCAGGTGTCTGTGATGTTGACTAAGATATTAGGATTTAAATTATGAATTCCTTAAACACCAAGATTTGTTCACTGCCATTGTTAAGGATCTTAGAAGAAACTTTAAAGTGTTAAGGTGACTTTTAAGGAAGATCATTAAGATTTCTAGACTGTGTATGTTTAGATGTGCAGTCATAAGACAGTTAATTTATAAACTATGGGAGTTCTGCTTCCTTAGTGCTGTCGAAGGTATGGGCAGACATGAACCTTTTAATTGATTCCATTCTTTGAACCTCATTAAAATATTTAAATACAAGAATATGTATTTGAAGATGAATGAATCCTGCAGATTTCCTTGCAATGATGTTACCTCAATAAATGAAATAGGCCAAAGCTAAAAAGTAATGCTGCAAAATTTACATATGGTTATTTTGTACACCAGATTTGACCAGCTGTCTATGCCACTGATGTTCTGAGTGACAAACTGTTGAATTTTGCACCATTTCACCAGGTTTCAAAATTATGTTTGCATTGCTGATCATTATTTCAATTCTGGCTAAAGGGGAATGCAACCCTAAGATTACACTAGCCAATACTGGAATAGATTACTGTTACACAACTCCATAATATATATTTTTAAATCCATGTGCAAGTATTATTGAGCTCTTTAAAGGCGACTGATTTGAAGATTGTGGGGTTTTAAAATAAAAAGTTTTATTTATGCTTCAATGTACCATGTGTGTCTTTGTTAACTACAAGATTGACCATCATAACTATGCTGACTGGAGACAAAATATTTATGAAAGATATTCTTTAAGTGTCCTTTGTCTGCTTAATCAAATCTTGCTCCATAAAGCGCAGTTAAAACATTTTCTTGGGTTCACCTATTATAGATATTGAAAAAAAATATTGTGAAGAAAGTGTGCTTTGCTACCTTATTCTGGATAAAAAAAGAAATTGATTGTTCCAACTTTTCAAAGCGTATTGAAATAAAAAATATGCAGATTTAAGAATATTTATCAATGTTTTTAATTTTTTTTAGTTTTAAGGTGTCTATTCTTGATTTGTTCACATAAGCAGCGGAAGGTATTCCAGACCCCAAGCTAAATCAAACCTGCAAAGTTATAATCTTTGGACACTGTCCGAAGTATTTTAATATTAATTTACATACAAATTACACACGGTTATTATTATTTTTTTGGTCTTTTTTTTCAGCACTGAGGAATGGACTTCATCCCGAGGATTTGTGCATACATTTCTTATGAACTATTAACAAAACTCAGCAAATTCTTTTGGTCTTTGATGCTAAAAGAGCTGCTTCAAAGCTCTATTCTGCAATGCTTGCATTTTTCCTTGTTCCAAATACAAGTTCCCTGATCTTGATAGATTCGTGCAGCTGCTATGGGGTTCACCTCAATCACCCCGTAAAAAGCAATGACATTACAAAGTTAAATTGTCGGCTTCCTTACATTGCTAAATTTCAAGTTACTATGAATTGACAAACTCGTTTAATTTTCCTCTGTTCTCCCGTAATTCTGTCCTGACAGGGAGAGGCAATGAACATCAATCCTAAATTTGTACTGAAATACCGCATAATAGGCTATTTTCAACAGGTAAGATGTCAGGGTTCTAACGTGCATCAGCATTAAAAAAGCATTTTGATTTATTGTGATTTTTAACTTCAAAACATTTAGGTAATTTTCAATTAGATGAATTATTTTCAGAAATTTAGTATTCATAGAGTATGAATGGTTATGTGAATCATTGATGAGATTGTTTCTAGGAATCAACTCAAAATACTAATTTATGAGGACAGAATTGGACTTGTTCTCAATAAAAGAAAGAAGATTGAGAGGGGTCATGAACAAGCATTACAATGTTGAAAGCTATGGAAGCTGTAGATGTCAGTAGATTATTTAACTTAAATTCTGATCACAAACTGGAGCACATAAGCACAATATTGGCAAGCACCACACAGGTTTAGAGATTTTAAAAATAGAAGGTATGTGTAATTGACTACCATCAAAGTTAGTAGTAATTTTAGATAACTTTAGATAGAGTAATATGTAGATTAATTATTTTAATGAAGACTGGAAAGGATATCTGGCTATGAGACAATTTACAGGTCCTAAGATTACCATAGGCATAGATCAATTAAGCTATGGAGCACCGGTTAATCAAAATAATATCATCTGAAGCATGCAAAAGCATGAATAATGTTAGATCAATATCTTGCCTGTTTAAACAAGGAGTCGTTTTGGAAATGTCAACTGTTTTTATTTAAGGAGGTTAAATAATTCAGAAGAACCCATGACAGCGCAAAACCGGGTTAATACAGGTTTACTTTCTGTATTCCGTATACCTCTACAAGTTGCTTCTCAAATGTCCCTTTTCGATACTCAAGAGGCCAAGATTATCCAGTCATTCATCATATCTGATCCTCTGCATTAACCGCTGTCTGGATTTCCCTTTTACACCACAACACCATTTCACTACTGTAACTTACCCTGGAGTATTCACCAAATACTTCCCTGCACCTGCACTCCAGGAATTCTAGGTGAGGCAGTGCCTTACTTGTCTAACCTGATGAGCTGCCACTGGCTAAAGGACAGTAACTTCATAAGATTAGCGCATAAAGCACCTTTCAAGTAGGATAATGTCTTGGAATACTTTACAGTGATAGGGTTGGGCACTGAGTGAGGGAAGGGGGGGGGAACTTAAACATGGATACAGGTCATGCATCTTTAAATCTATCCAACTTTCTGTGATGTAGAACTGAAATATTTATCAGCAAAATACATAAGTGGTAGTTAGTACCAAAAGCGATCTGATCAAAAGACTGACCGTAACTTTTGATCAGTGCTCCACTAACAATGTATCACTAACAGCGTAGCATTATATTGGGAGCTACAAAAAGCCAGGTAAAAATATTTAGCACTTTTAACGGTTAAATATTAGTGCAATGCTGTTAAAATACACCTTTCTGTACACATTTCACAGACATGAATTAATTTTCCGCGGCATTGTTAACCAACGGCAGTGTACGTACGCTTTTAACAAATAAACTGTACTGAGTATCTCATCCGTACATATCCCTCTATTCCTAGTTCGTGTTGGGGTCTATGTTCATAAGGCGTCTCCTGCCTTCTATACCTCGCAAACTGGTCGCGCTCCACACATGAGCCCAGATGGAAGAGGTCGGAGGGGAATACTCGCCGACTCACTTCTATTGCCATTGGATATCCGGCACAAACACCTTCCAGCATTGGCCACCGGATGCAGTCAGAAGCAGGACTGTTGCACGCAATTTTTTTTAAGATAGAACATGGGCGCATCAAATGGACTCCGATCTTTATATATTTCTGATACAGTACTCTTTTCTTGTGATTGAATTTGTGGTGCAAACATAGCCACGGGGTTCTACTTCGTCCTCACCGTCAACAGTACAAATACAACCGTTCAGTGCAAACTTCTGCGGTGGGGGTTGAAGATGGTCCAAAGCGTTCAATGGACCTTAGATTAAAAATACACGACCTCTTGCAATGTACAAGGAGCGAAAAGCAAAACAACCCCTAAATGAGTTGTCGGCACCTCAGAAGGAAGGAACGTTAGGATCAAAAAAAAAGAGAGACGACCGGTGGAAAAAAAAAGGGAATTATGTATGGGTTCGGGGGAAATATTACTGAGAGAACGGTGGGTCGCGATTTATTGAGGGAGTTGATAAGATTAAAATTAAATGCGGATTAAAACGCAATTGGCTGCCGCGCTTCGCCCGCAAAATGCACAGTCACTCCACTTCACAGTACGTTCTGTGAAGCGCTTCCGAGACGCCTCGAGGACGTGATGAGGCGCTGTATCAAACGCAAGGACCATTATTATTATAATTAATTATTATTATAATTAATAATAATAAAAGTACCCGGACTTTTAGACTGAGCAAGGAACGGCCACCACCACCACAACAACAACAACAACAACAACAAAATACGTTACCGGGCATATTAGAAGGGAGGGAAGGAAGGAAGGAAGGGTAGAAGCCGTGATACGGCGGTGTATCAAATGCAAGGATTATAAAGCAAGGAACAAAATGAGAGGCCAATTGATGGGAGGCACTCCCCTCCGGTTTGAGGCGAGCGCGGCCCGCGGGCCACCCGCCCGGGGCCGAGCCACCTCATCGCTCGCCTCACCTGCGCCTGTGGCGGTTGAGCGCGCGCCGCTCGCCCCGCGCCGCCCCGCCCCGCGCCGCGCGGTGCCTGCCGGTCCCCCTCCCTCTCTCCCTCTCCCACCCCCCCCTCCCCCTGACCTCTGACCCCCACCCCCCCCTCCACACGGCTTCCGACAGCCACAACACGGAAGAATGGCGTCAGAGGAGCGCGAGCTCCGCGCTCGCCAACGGCTGCGGGTGATCGCGAGGCACCTGCGGCGGCCCGAGCTCGAGCTGAGCCCCAGCCAGTGCCGCGCCGCGCACAGCTCCGGCACCATCCCCCGGCGGAGGTGAGTCTCGCACGGACCGACAGTTTGAATGGGCGCCTGAGGAGCCGGGACTGGACTGGACTGGACAGGACAGGGCAGGACCGGGTTATCATGTCGGGGAGACAGTCACTCACCGAGGACCCCCTCCGCTCCCGAGGGATTTCGCGTGGCGACCACCGACAACCCCCCCACACACACACCCCACACACACACCCCACTCCCCTCACCGGGGAGGGAGAGGGAGAGGGGAAGCACACGGCAGGCCCGGAGCCGGTGCCTTTGGGTTCAGTTCAAAGAAGAGTTCCTCTCCCCCCCTCATGGTGCGTTCTTGGGAAGTGAAGGTGGAGAGGGAAGAAGGGGGAGATAGGTGGACGATGGGAGGGAGGGAGCGAGAGAGAGGGAGAGGGAGGGAGGGAGGGAGGGAGGGGAGGAAGAGAGGGAGGGGAGGAAGAGAGGGAGGGGATGGGGAATTTAGGAGAGGAGAGAAGTTCGAAAGTGCCGGCGGGGCTCAGTGTGGGCAGTCCCCCCCCCACCCCCTGGTAACCTATATTTCGCTCTGCACCCCATCATGTCCAAACGCGATCTTCTCATATTAATGCACACACACACAGACAGAGAGAGAGAGAGAGTGAGAGGAAGAGGGAAGAGGGTTGGAGTGCGGCACTCGCTGCAGCAGCTCTGGGAGTAACCGGAAAGGTCGGAAAACCGTTCCGCAATCCTCTCTCTCTCTCTCTCTCTCTTTCCCTCTCCATCGCTCTCTCTGTGTGTGTGTGTGTGTGTGTCTCTCTCTCCCTCTCTCACGACTGAGCCGTTCCAAGAAAGTACAGAACGAGATTCAGTCGTGTTTTCTGAAATAATCGCCTGTCCATTTGCCGGGGTTTAAAGACACAGCGTTGCTTTGAGCTGCAACGCCCCGAGCTCAAGATAATAATAATGATAATAATAATAATCCTTGCATTTGATATAGCGCTTTTCACGTCGGGAGGACGTCCCAAAGCGCTTCACAGAACACACTGTAAAGTGAATTGACTGTATAGTTGTGGGTGAAGGAGGCAGTTAATTGTGTACAAACCAGTGCCATCTAGTGCAGCGTTGTGCTGGTGATGGGGATAGGATGGGGTGACTGGTGGTCTGATTTCTCTCCAGCCTACGTGCGTAACTTCCCCCCCCCCCCCCACCCCCTACCCTTTTCAATATCGCACTGTGACATCCAGTGGCACAATCTCTTTGGGGGCTTTGTTTTCTTCTAACAAAAAACAATGGGACAGTGCTCGGTGCATTCAGCAGTTGACTTATGCTCCACGCCCACAACTGCAGTGTTTTTTTTTCACGTACTGTGTGTCGTGCACTATACATCCACTGCCCCCGGAGAATGAGTGAGAGTCACTTTGTTAAGCTCAACGACTGGGGTCGGATGTAAGAGACGACTGAGTGCAGCATTTCAAAATTCTTGCAAGCACACACACACACAAAAAAAAAACGTTCGTAAAAGATCTTTCACTTCAGATTAGCCAAATCACAAGCGTGAAGGTTGAGCTGCTTACAACCCTAATCTGAATCCTGTGATGAAGTTGAACCTTGCAAACTGCCATGTAACCGGTGTACCTCATATTGCACGGACGCTCTCTCCATTCTTCATCTGCACAAAACTGCAAATTCCAATCCCGATATTACTTATTGTGATGGATTATGTGGTCTACAAGCAGAAGAGGCAAAGGTCATCATTCCATCTCGCCCCTCACACTGTAAAATCCGGAATGGGGGAAAATGGATTGAATTTGTGTATCTGTGCATGCAATAGAAAATTATGCACCATCTGCTGAGTCTTGCAAGGCAGTAACATGTTTTAGGATTAAGGTAATTTCGATTGTGCAAGGCTAACTTCCTGAATTATTACATCATTTTAATTCCTCAATGTGATTTTTTTATTAAAGTAGCATAGGAGCCTTTGTGTACTTGGGAGGGAGGCTACAGTAAATGTAATTTTGATGCCAGAGTTGGTGTCAACACCTCTGGGCTTGGGAGGGTACCCATTTCAGATGCTATCCACCAATCCCTAATGGATGTTGTGAATGTGTGAGGATGAGGTCATATTCGGTTGTGATACCCACCATGGTTGAATTGCCTGCCTTTGGGAGGGGATACAAATGGAGAAAAAGCCCCTCCCCCCCCGTAATTTAATCCAGAATAAAATTTGAGCAGTTTGTAACTGTGAAACTGTGATACGAGTCCGCGATTATATTATGGCCTGAATGTCTTTCTGGAGTCCATATCTAATGTCTCATGAAATTGTGGAATCCTTTTGTAGTATGGTTCCCCTGGAGCTGGCAACTCTCCAGTACCTCAGTCATTCTAAATGCATGAGCCCAGATATTGAATGACAGCAGGCTGTTCAACAGTGGATTGTATACCTTCACTATTGGCACTTTACTATAATTTCAACTAAGTTGATGTACAGTGCTAGATTATACCAAGATTTCCCAATAAATCTGCAAGAGTTCTCAGTGTGGGCAAGTCTCACAACGCTAAATTGTCCATAATTTGGCAGATCCTCAGAGAGGCCTTTTGAATGTTGATGTGAGACACAAAATTATTATTATTACTATTATTAAATTAAAATACCATATTGGTCCAGTAGGCGGTATTGTTTTGGCAATTGTTAAGGCATTTGCTGGGACTGTATGGCCACTGAACTTAGGATTTCATTTTTGCTGTGGTGGACGTGGAGTGCTTGATTCTGATGGTTTGTCTACAGTGTGGAAATGTGTTCAATACCCAGTAATTCACCCCCGGCTTCAATTTTCCCGAAATTGTCAATGTGAAAATTCTGTTTCCTATATGTTGCTCCTGTGGCTTTTACTGGGTAAAGCGTCCATTATTACTGAATTATAGGATACATTGTGCCATCTATTTTCTCTTCTCTTACTTGAAGGTAGTGACATAGTCTGTGGTATAAGTTTGTGGCCACTGGGAAACCTCTGCTGTTTCATCCAAGCAACCATTCTTCCTATGGGAGCCTTTTCTGATCATTTGCAAGACTAAATTACTGTGGCTAGGCACTGTACCATACTGTACCATTATTATAAATTGAACATAAGTACTGTTCCATAAGTGGAACAGAAAGATATATCATAAAAATCAAATGTATGTGAGACTTGAGAGAGTTCAATACTTTAAAAGTAAATGTATTTCTCCATATATTCGCATTTAATTTACCAAAACAAATGTTCTATGCATTGTGTAGTAGACAGCTGTTTCTCTTAACACTGGTTTTCTATGTCAGCAAGACTTCCCAGTCTGCCATATGCATATAGTTATTTCCTTCCAACTATCAGTTTCAATGCTGAATTAATATTTGATTAGTTTGAATTATTAATTTATCTGAACAGGGGTCTTTCCCACACAATTCAACATCCCACTATACAATGTATTATTCAGAACTTAGGGAGCAAATTATTTTGAAATTTGTAATCTAATTCCAAGGTTCATAACAAGAGATTTTCAACCTTGAGTGTTCCTCAAACGTAAGATTACAGAATTATACATTCAGTATTTAACAATTCAAGCCTTATTGAGTCTGGACCTTATGACTCCAATCCTGCGGAGGGTAGCGATTTTTATTTGTGGCAGTAATAATAATAATCCTTGCTTTTGATATTACGATTGAGACATCTCAAAGCATTTCACAGAATATATTGTAAAATGCATTCACTGGGTATTTTATGGGCGAGGCAAAGTAAGGGTGATTGTTTCTGTGTATTTTAAGATGTTGAGCATGCATTATAAACGTGGCAAGTTTCCTTACTCCACACGTCTATGTTTACCTAGCAGTAAGTAGGAATCCGGTCGTTAGTCGATTGGAGGATCGCTTTTCTGGGGGTAATAAATCCTTCAAAAAAATAAAATAAATTGGTCACTCAATCCATGACTGTTTGTAGGACACTGCTGTGCACAATTAGCTGCTGCATTTCGCCCACAAAATATACAGTCAATTCCTTTACAGCATATTCTGTGAAGTACTTTGAGACGTATCGAAGACATGATAAGGCGCTATATCAAATGCAAGGCTTATTATAAATTGGCATTTTTATGGCCCAGAGAAGCATAACTTTTTGTAATCTTCATTCCTAATTCACCATAGTCAATTGATAGGAGAGTATTTGTGTGTGTGTGTGTGCACGGGTGCGCGCGACACACTTGTTTAATAATTGTAAATGCATTGTCTGAATTTTACACAGAAATTTCTCTGGGTCAATACCTTTTAGAGATGTTGGTAGGATGGGGTTAAGATGAAGGAATATCCCATGCTAAACTGAAAAGGTTGGTAAATTTATCGATTAGCAGAGAATACTGCCTGTGATCATGTTCCACAGCATCTGTAAATAAACAGATTATTTCCTCATCGAAATTCACCACTAAAAAGCTCAGGTGATAGCAGTTGGCTACTCATTGCTTGTAAGATGTTGCTGGTGCATGTTAGCTACTGTATTTGCCTACATAACACCAAACAGTTTTTTGATCAAAATGTGGTTTTAACCTCAATAGTCATTAGTACCAAAGTATTCTAATCTAATCCCTGTTCTGAAAAGTTTCTTCCAATGTCTACTTTAACGCTTCAAGTGACTCAAATCCTTAGTCCAAAGATACTTTAATGATCATGACATTTCAGCTCGCTAACACTGCTGGATGTCATAAATAATTTCAGTCAATTCTCAGATCATGTTATCGTCCCTTAAGTCGATCACAATTAGCTTTATTAATTTGGGTAGGGTATTCTTAAACCAACATCGAGGTAGGCTGTTAAACCACAGTAAATAAATGCTTTTCTCCATTACACGCATTTCAATTTGAATCTATTGTAATTGTGAAGGTTCCTTTTTGCTGTTCAGTATTCTGTACTGCGCCTGTACTGTCATAAGTAATTATGATCTCATTGAGGTGAAGATCATTTGTACTAAAGGAAGTTGAATGTAGAGCTCCTACCTATTCATAATAGAAATTGTGGTAATTAATCCTAAGGG